TGCAATTTTAAATGGCTTCTTATACTAAGACATCACAGAACCTGTGAGGAGAGTCTGATTAGCTGCAGAACAATATGCAGCTTGGGTTTCTTAAATAATTAATTAGAGTAATTACATCATTTAAATAATTAGGTATTTCCTTTTCTTCTGTCAAATTGCCTACTTTCCTTTTTTAAAACAGATTTTACTGACTTACCTCAAAGCCTGCATTTTCAGTTTGTTAGCTGATTGAGAATGCCGGTAGCCAGCTGATTAAACAGCTCCAAGAAGAGAGTTGCAAATTTGTAATCATCATGCTTTATTTAGGACCAAATTAAATTCTGTTAATTGTAGTTGGGGAATGACTTCTTAAGCTATTAGTGTTATAAACCTAAGGTATTAAAATTATGTTTGGAATTCATGGGGAAGTTGCAAGCTTTATGTGAAAGCTAGTCCCCAAAACACCCTGAACCAAGCAAAAAGTATCCTAGTAACACTGACAAAAGTGTTGATATAAAGTATAGTGCTAAATCTTTGCTATCTTTAGGCTTGCCCTGAACATAAAATCTGGATGTTTAGTTCCAACATTAGGGAGCTTTTGAGTCTAGGGGTTTGAAGTGACCCATTATTCAAGAGCTGGCTGAAACTATCTTTCTGGAAAAGTTGCCCTCTAAGCCATGAAACATGCTTGTGTGCATCGGAAAATAGCTGCCTAGACAGTACGATACACCTAGTAACAGAAAAAAATATACTGCAGAATTTCAGCAACACTAAAGAAAGCTGTACAAAGCAAGAATATGCTGCATGACGCACAGTGTGGGTGTTGAGGAAATCAGTATATTTTCCCCTAGCCATCTACTTTTGGCAATGATATGGGACAGAGTACTGCATTAGATGAATCTTTGGTTTGACTGCACTTGTGTAAGAAATATTTGATATGTAATTTTAACAAGCAGCTCTCCAACATAAAAAAAAAAAAGTAAAAATGAGTGTTATGTGAAAGATACTGCTCAAGATAAAATTACACTGTGAGATATAAAACCACTTGAAGCTCAGCCTGGCTAATGGCAAGTACCTTGGATTTTCTGTTCTGGGCCCTCCATCACTTTTTATAAAAAGTATAGTGATGGACCATGATGATACCATTCATCTTTTCAAAAACCTCTATCTGCTTTAATATCCCTATTTCCATTGGCGATTTGGAAGGGTGGCCTTGAAGGACCATTTCTGGTTGAGTACCTTTGCCAGCATGGCCATGGTCATGAAGCCAATTGTGAAACCAGAAAGGCAGGAGGGACACTCATTTTACTCTAGTTAAATGAGTGTTTAAACTATGTCAGTGTGTTTAAATCCTTTGTTTCCATAGCTGACCTGTTTTTAAGGAATGATTGATACTACGGGAATCAGCTATTCCAGGCAACAGTGGCAAACATGATGGAAATACTGCTGCAGTGTGATCAGAAGAGAAAAAGCCCTCAAGTCCTGTCAGCACCACACACTGCCTGAGGAGAGAGTTAGTGTAAAGTAATCCGTTCTCTTAGATCAGGAGTCCTGCTTACCTCCTGACCTTGATCAGCTGCCCAGGTGTAAAGAAAAAACATCTACCACAGCTCTAAACTACAGCTTTGATTAAGTAAACCGGTAAAAGTATACATCTGCCTCAGTGAACGACAACATACTTCAGCAAAGTAAAGAAGGAAAGGATTATACCATGTCACTCTCACCTTTCGCACTCGTGGGACAGAGAAGCTAACAAAAACCTACTCGGACTACATTTGTCAAGGCAGAAGATTTACCTGGACTGGCAGCAGAAATAACATGTAAATACAACTGTCAACGCTGGACAAATGTGGCCAAGAAGGAGAAATCACTGTGGCTTTCAAAAAAATCTCACAATTATTGAGGTATCAGAAATCTGTCTCAGATGCCTTGAAGGTGAATACCACCCCCTTTTTCAGTGCTGGCAGACACTTTCCTGAACTGAAACAGATCAGTTTTTTTTTACCTACTTAAGATGGAAGGTAGGGAAAGAGTATTTTCAGAAAAGCACAATACAATCTAACAAAGATTAAGTATTGTAACCAAAACAGCACATCTCCCAGACCTCTTTCTTTTGGAATAGATGTCACACAGAAAACTGTGAGCAAACCAGGTGAGGAGAACAGGGTGACTCCCAGCACTGACTGGGAGGGCTTCACCAGCCCCTGGAATGGGAGGAACCTCCCTGAATGCCACAGTAACATTATATCTGTCACAATACCAAGCTGCTCAGGGCTGTTTGGCAATGTTGAGGGGTGCCTCCCAGATGGATGTCTGACAGTGGGTTAGTTGTCCTGAGTGATGACAGCTTCACGAGGCTTTTGTCTGATCAAATGAATGGACTTACTATGTATGGGAAGGCAGCTGGAGGGAACCAGATCAACAATTACCTAGAAGGCTACATTTTGAAGTTTTAATGATTTTCAGATAGCATTACAGCACACTGAGCCTAATATTTCATGAGGGCTAAGCCTATTAGTTCATCAGTGATATGAAAGGCAAGAATTGGCTCTGCAAGAAAATATCATCTGAGACTCAGCCATCTGCAGCAAACCTGCTCTCACAGTCTGTTCCACCATTTCATAGCATTTCTGGAGTTTGCAGACTGTTAACAGGCACCAGGTGCTGCTGCTGGGTCTCTCAAATGGGAGCTGCCTGCTCTGATGCCTCTGTGCCTGTGTCTTGCTCTTTCAATGCAGAAGACAATCTGTATACAAGAAAGTCAGGGGTACCAGATCAGCCACTCCTGTGCAGAGAGGGACAGTTACTACTCTCATCCTTTTCCTCCTGCTTTCACTAAGATAATGGGAGGTACGTCCTGAGAGGACACACAGAGGACTTGTCTTGGTGAACCTGTGCTAAGGAGACTTTTGCATACCTGCATGGATCATTCAAAAAGTGCTAGTACTGAGTATACAAGTGAATGATCTTTCCTGCACAAAACTTTAAAACAAAACAAAAAAAAATAGTGCCACCATATCTGGTGGTTTTGCAGTCAGTAAAAAACCATGCCAAACATTGGAGGACAATCCTCTTCCCTCACTGGGTCAGTAAACCAACCCCTAGTCCTGGCAGTAAGGCTGCAAGGCAGGAGAAATGGGGCTACTTCACAAAGGAAGGACAACCAGCCTTCCTCTCTCCACACACACTTCCTCCTCAAAGTCAAGTAGCCTTAGGCAATATTGGAAAAAGTTAGCAGTCCTCTCACTGACCCTTTAGTGTTATTAGAATAATTTGTAGATTTCACATGCTCCTTTTTACTTAAGTAAGCAAGCAGACTTTAGTCTCCATAAGCTGCCCAAAACAGCCAATACATAGAAATCACAGAAATCAAACACTCAAAATTGGCATTAACAACATGGCAGTAAGAAATACTTTAAAAAATGTCAAGACAATTCCTTTAGGCTTCTTCATATATATTCACAAGCAATCCACTATTACAATTCAGAGATTTAATTCCTTGCTTTACAGAGCAAACACATGAGTTATGGGCTCTCCATACCAAGGAAGATTTAAGTAGCTTCAGGAAATGTCATACAGACTGCTGTCAAAAAAAGTTGGTAAGGTAAGAGTCAGAAGAGGTAAAAAGATGAGGTAAAAGCAGCTGTGTGCTCAAGTGATGATACTTTAACATCTTTAGAGCACTTTTTTTTTTTCATCATTTTATAGCACCTGCAAAATACCACTTACCTCCAAGCACTGGCAGTTCATTAAAGACTAAAGACAATTTGGCAATGCACTAGCAGGTGGAACAGAAGATCTGGGACCTTGACAGGCTGGTGCAATTCAGCATGAAACCTGTGCAATTGAAGCTTGAAATTCAGTTTTTTGCATTTTATTTCACTTGAAATAGTTTTCTTAAATTGTTAAGATGAACAAACTTAAACCACTTCTCTATGGCACATGGACTTTGGTGTTGAGTAGAAAAATGCCTCTTCCCAAACGCAAAAATTATTTTGGACTAAAAAACAAAGAAACCATTCTGCATGTTCTGACTCCAAATATGTGAGAGTCCCTCAGCAGAAAATGTGAATGAGGCAAGAACTAGGACAAAGCAGAATCAAAGACACAGAAATGCTGAGTATTTCATTGAAAAGCTGCGCTGAATAAGCTCTGGGTACTTTTACAACTGCTTCAGAGAGAGAGACTTGTCATTAGAATGCTGGGCTTTGACAGCTGAGCAGCATCAGGTCCCTGGCCCAATGTTTTTCATAAAGCTGGAAATGTAAGAATCGGAAGGTAGAAAAAGGACATGCAGACCGGGGGGCTTATGGCAGCCAGGTGCTAGCCCCAGAACACTGCACATGTACGTGGAGCACCTAAAAGCCATGTGGGTGGCAAAGATCTGGAGAGACCTTTATACAGCATGACCATACAACAGTGGCGGGATCCCATTTTCAAGGCCCCTTGGCCGACAAACAGGGATACTGCTGTTGCCTTTGGAGCACCAGTACACAGTCGCATGGCACAGAGGGCTCAGCTACCTTTTCACAAAAGCTTGTTAGTTCAACATCTTAAGATCTTAAACCTGGGAGCCTCTTGCTGCTTTACCTCCAGCAGCAGCACCGAGATCGAGACAAGGTAAAGCCCCTCTCGGGATAATCCTGTGTAAGGTAACGCGGCTCCACTGCAGCTGGACCCCGCTGCGGAGGGCGGCAGTGGCAGGCTAGGTGGACGTGGACGTGGACGTGGACGTGGACGTGGACGTGGACGGGACCGGGACCACCTACCCCCTGTGGGGTTAACAGCGGCCCCGCACGCCGGGGGCACCATTTCGAGCCCGCAGCCCTGCTAGGGGGCGGGCTCACTTGCTGCCCCCAGCGCCCGGCCTCCGTCCCGCGCCCCCTCCTCAAGATGGAGGCGCGGCATGTCCTCTCGTCTCTGCTGGCAGGAAGCCCCCGCGCCCTCTGGGGACAGAGTCAGACCAACCACACATTCCCCCTTCCCACCCCTCCCTTCCCCGTGGTCGCTGCCGCTCCCCACAGGTGTGGCTCTTTTCTGCAGCCTCAGGCTCGGTGGCCTCCCCGCTGGGGCGGCTCCGAGCGGTGCGTGTTGGGGAGGGGTAGGGGGTGTCTCTGGGCAGTGATCCTGCGCGGAACGCGGCGGCCGCCTCTGGGAGGTGTGCGGAGGGACGGCGCCTGCTCCTGAGTCAGCAGCGGCGAAGAGGCGGGCGGCACCGCGCCGCCCGGCCCCGCCGAGCGCCCGCGGCCCCTAGCACCGCGCCGGACCCCGGTGCCGAGCACCCGCTAGAGGAAGGGGGCCGTGGGGGCCCGGCGGCTCCTTTCTCCGCCGCCGCCAGGTAGGCTCACTGCTGCGGCCTGGGCGCGGCCGCAGGTGCCGCTGTAGGTGAGGAAGGGGTGAAAAAGGCAGTCGGTGCTGTCCAGCTGCCCGGCTGAGAACCGGGGATTAACTCCGCTAGCTGAGCGCTTCGCAGCTGCCGCGGCTGGGGTTGGAGTCTGCGGGGAAGCGCAGCCCGGAACCGCCCCGCAGGCGGGCGTGCTCCCGGTGTGAAGGGCTCCGGGAGAACGAGTGCTGTGAGCGCCGTGCAGAAATGGTAACGGGACAGCGGTAGCGATGGTGCCTCTGGACTAAAGGGAGTTTTCCCTCCCTTCGGCCCCCGTCTGCTTGTGGCAAAATGCGTGTCCTGTGCGTGTGCAACCTGTTAGGCCAGGACCATGGTGGGAAACAACACTGGGGGACTGCGCTGGGGGAATGTGTGTATGTTTTAGTATTTAATTTACAGGTGGATTTATTTATATACATGTATGAAAATAAATATTTGTGTGTGAAGGATCAAACAGTTTTGATGGGGTGTTCCCTAACAGTGCATGTATATTTAGCTGTATCTGATCTGAGCTCAGAAATCGTAGCTTTATGTTGTCTTATTTGTGTGTGTATATATATTTGGATATTTATATATGCAAAGTATATAAGAGTATTACTCTTGGCAAGTTTCTCTTCAGTCTTCTGTCAAAGTGTGTGTTTGTTACAGCCTAAACATGTATGTGACTGGTGAGCATGGTGCTAATGTGAAATGCTTTGTCAGATTGTGTTCCGAGCGGTAGAGCAGAGCTTAAACAGAAGAAAATACTATATGTAATATTTATATTGATGCCGTTTCAGGCATAGTCTACATTAGGAATGTTATAGAAAACTAGAATCATTCCCCTGACCTCTTTCAGGAGAGTATCACAGATAACCCGTGAAGAATCAGATAGTTGAGGGAACAAAATGAATCACAAGCTGGTTTGCCCTCTGTTCCTCCCTATCTGCTTTTGCTGTAGGAGCACTCTAATGTTCCTCATAGTGTCTGCATGACAAGATAGTGGAGTCAATATAGGACATACTGGCTTTTAAACTCTTTGAAGTTGGTTCTGTATCTGCCTTTGCCCTTACTATATGTTGTAGTAGGAGACTGATTTTCAGTCATGCAACTTTACAGGCTGGATCAATGGGCTGTGTGGCCAGTGGTATGAGGTTCAACAAGGCAAAGTTCTGGGTCCTGCACTTGGGTCACAACAACCCTGTGCAATGCTGCAGGCCTGGGGAAGAGTGGCTGGAAAGCTGCCCATGGAAAAGGATCTGGGGATGCTGATTGACAGAGCTGAACATGAGCCAGCTTGTGCCCAGGCAGCCAAGAATGCCAGTAGCATCCTGACCTGTATCAGAAATAGTGTAGTCAGCAGGGCTGGGGAAGTCATTGTACCCCTGTACCACTGGTGAGGCCACACCTGGAATCCCGTGTTCAGTTCTGGGCCCCTCACTGCAAGAAAGATGCTGAGGTGCTGGAGCGGATCCAGAAATGTGCAACAAAGCTGGTGAAGGGTCTGGAGCACAAGTCTGATGAGGAATGGCTGAGGGAACTGGGATTGTTTAGTCTGGAGAAGAGAAGGCTTAGGGGGGACCTTATTGCTCTCTACAACTACCTGAAAGGAGGCTGTAGCAAGGTGGGGGTCAGTCACTTCACCCAAGTGACAAGTGGTAGGACAAGAGGTAGCAGCCTCAAGCTGCACCAGGGGAGGTTTAGATTGGATATTGGGAAATATTTCTTCACAGAGGGGGTGATTAGGCATTAGAACAGGCTGCCCAAGGAAGTGGTAGAATCACAGTCCCTGAGAGTGTTCAAAAACCATGCAGGTGAGTCCCTCAGTGATATGGTTTAGTGGTGGTCTTGGCAGTCCTGAGGTAATGGTTGGACTCAATGATTGTAGAGGTATTTTCCAACCTAGTTGATTCTCTGATTTTATAAATCTAGACATTTGCTTTGTTTAGTTATTTACTCCTTGTGTTTGGTATTTTCTAGCTGCAGTTGATATTTCCTAGTTGGGCTTTGTCTTGAGTCAAACCTGAATTGTTTAAAACCTGATATAATACAAAGTTAATAGGTCATACTGACCATACTCATTTTGATAGCTTAGGTGATGGGGTTGAGCTGCATGTAACGTGTCAAATTATGTGTCTGAGTGGTGCAGGTAAGGTGGGAGTGTATGTGTACAAGATTCGTGGACTGATGCTTTCCCCATCAGCATAAGACAATAGAAAATGCAGCATAGCCCGGTTTATACATTATTGAAGCTAACTGGAGTTATGATCATGATCTGTGGACAAGGCTGTGCTCTGGGGATGCTTGTCCAGTTTAGTCTTACCTGTTTTCCTTCAGAGAGTACTGTGGTGGAGAGCTGGAGGTGAACTTCTGTAGCACTTCTATGAACTTCAGGTTCCACAACAAACACATGCCGATATGGATCTGTTACATCTTCACTAGCTGCCTATCAGCGAGCTGCAATTCTGTCAATTCTAATGAGCTGCATGGAGTGCAGAAGTTTTGGTGACTTGGAGATGCTGTAGTTTAGTTCATCTTTAGCGGGTTGAAGCAGTTTGCACGGCAGTTCGCGCAGGCAGGCGACCAGGATGGTGAGCACTCGTCGTATGACCAGGGCCCGGTCTGGGAGCTCTGCTCTGGCTGCCTCGGCGGTGCCCAGCATAGGCACCCAGACAGATCCGATGAGAGGGGAGGCTGCAGTGCAGAGCTCGGGGTGTAGAGAGTGCCTGCACTGCTCTGGTGAGGGGAGGGTGCACAATGGGCAGGGCTGCACTCGGTGCTCCCTGGTGGAGGTCCTCCTGCAGCAGGGGCTGAGCTGCGGGATGCTGTCAATAGGCTGCGAGATGTCAGGGAAGCTGAGGGGAAGCAGGAATGCTTGCTCCCGGCCCAAACTCTGCAGGGGCCTCAAGCTTCAACTCTACCTCATGAAGGAAAGAAGGAGGCCGTTAACCTGGGAAGCTGGGAATTAGTGACCCCCCCCAAAAAAAACAACAAAAAAAGGAGAAAAAGGACAACCAAAAGCAAGGGGCTTCCCCCTAAATCCCCTGTCCCCACGCAGAACTGCTTTGCTGTCCTGCAGGGGGCTAATGAGGAAACGCCCTCGAGCCAGAAACAGCCGGCAGATGCTCTGGTAAAGAAGATCTCTACTGGTGCTGCTAGGAAAAAGCGGCCGGTTGTAGTAGTAGGGGACTTTACACTGAAAGGGACAGAAGCACTCGTCTGTCGGCCAGACCCCGTCTCTAGGTGTGTTGCCTAGCGGGGGCACGGATCAGGGATGTGGCAGAGAGGCTGCCTGCTCTAGTAAGTCCCACAGACTATTACCCACTCCTGGTGATACATGTGAGTGCTAGGGATCTAGATAGCAGTAGCCTGGGGAACATAAAGAAGGACTACAGAGCCCTGGGGGAGGTGGTTAGGGGCTCTGGAGCTCGGGTGGTCTTTTCGTCAATTCTCCAGTATACAGGGGAGGACCTAAAAAAAGCTAGGAGGATTAGCCAGGTTAATAACTGGTTAAAAGGGTGGTGTCATAGTCAGGGGTTTGAGTGCCCTGAACACAGGATCCAAGCTTGTAGGCGAGGTCTAGTGGGGGCTGGTGGAGCTGGTCTGATGATAAAGAAGGGAAAGAGCAGTTTTGGTAGGAGGCTTGCCAGACTGGTCAAGGAGGCTTTAAACTAGGTGTGTTTGGGGAGGGGGGCATCATTCCATCCCAACACACCCAGTCAGTTGCCAGAACCTATAATAAATGCTCGGAGCAATATAGAGATATCCCAGCCGCTCCAGCCAATGAGCCAGCTTCATTTGGAGCTCGGCTCAGATGCCTCTATACAAATGCCCGTAGCATGGGGAACAAACAAGAGGAATTAGAGATGTGTGCACGTCTGCGGGGGTATGATATAATAGGCATCACAGAAACATGGTGGGATGGCTCCTATGACTGGAGTGTTGGAATGGAAGGTTACAGGCTCTTTAGAAAAGACAGGCCTGGCAGGCAGGGAGGGGGAGTTGCCCTTTATGTTAGGGATAGGCTGGAGAGTATGGAACTCTGTCTGGGGACAGGTGAGCAGTCAACAGAGTTTGTGGGTCAGGGTTAAAGGGAATATAGCTATGGGAGACATTACTGTGGGGATCTGTTACAGACCGCCTGATCAAGGAGAACCTGCGGATGAAGCACTCTATAGACAGATAGGAAAAGCCTCACGCTTGCAGGGCCTTGTTCTCATGGGTGACTTCAACCACCCTGACATCTGTTGGAAGGACAGTACGGCCCGGCACAAGCAATCCAGGAGGTTCCTCGATTGTGTGGAAGACAACTTCCTTCTGCAAGTAATAGAGGAGCCGACAAGGAGAGGTGCCATGCTTGACCTTGTGCTCACCAACAGGGAGGGGCTCGTTGGAAATGTGACTTTCCAGGGCAGCCTTGGATGCTGCGATCATGAGATGCTCGAATTTGAGATCCTCAGGACAGTGAGAAGAGCGTGCAGCAAGTTCACTGCCCTGGACTTCAAAAGAGCAGACTTTGGCCTCTTCAGGAACCTGCTTAGTAAGGTTCCATGGGATACAGCCCTAGAGGGCAGGGGGGCCCAATACTGTTGGTTGATATTCAAGGATCACCTGCTGCAAGCTCAGGAGTGTTGCATCCCAACTAGACGGAAGTGCAGCAGGAGGGCCAGGAGACCTCCTTGGATGGATAAGGAGCTCCTGAGGAAAATTCAAATGAAAAAAAGAGGCTTATAATAAGTGGAAGCAAGGACAGGTGGCATGGGAAGGGTACAGGGTTGTTGTCCGGGAAGCTATGGACCAGGTTAGGAAAGCTAAGGCCCAGGTTAGGAAAGCTAAGGCTAAGTTAGAATTAAACTTAGCTAGGGGTATTAAAGATACCAGGAAGGGATTCTACAGGTACATAGCAAATAAAAAGCAGACTAGGGAGAACGTAGGCCCCCTCAGGAAGCTCTCGGGAGAACTGGGTACACAGGATT